TATATATATATATATATATATATATATATAAGCTCTGTTTATCTGTGTGGTGAAACAAAAATGTAATGTATCTCAGAACTGTAAAGCCCCTTAAGCATGTAGATATGTGGATTGGCTGCATGCTTTTGGTCCCTCCCCCTCAAAGCATCACTCTTAATCCTTGATAATCTGTTCATCTAAGGAGCGCAGGCAGACATGGCTACACATAGGGAGAATTTGCTTTCTGTTGAGCATCTTACCGGCATGGAACAAAATACTTTCACCAAACAAAGAAGCCACTTTATTGAGAAGAGGTAAGGTACTTAAATAGATGGGGCGCAGAGAGCAGGGATGTCACACATGAGGATTATGCTCTTTGGGGCTATAGTTTAAAGCCATATAAAACAAAAAGGTTGACAGAATAGAACATCATTGTTTCATACCAACCTATTATGTTAATCTTACAGCAGTCTGGATAAATTTATAGCATTAGTCAGAAGTTATCATGGGCTACACCAACTTCTTTATTTGACTGGACAGAGCTCATATAGGATTGAAAACCATATCATGTCTCCTCCAAACATATGTTTGGTTATTTTCTCTTCTTACCGTCTTGGCAGAAAACATTTTCTTATTCCTTCAGGCTGTTCGAAATTAAGCAAATTAAGCAGATTAAATTAAGCAAATCCTAGCTAATTTCCTTTCCTAAGTTAGACGGACAGTTTGGATTTGATCTATAACACTTGACATGGTTTAGAAAGAAACAATACATCATTAGCTGTGGAGGGCTTGACCTCATGTTTCATGCCAGTAAAGTCAAAGTCAAATATGCAGCCACAGTCACCATTCTTTAAATCTATTTCTCAGTGTTTTCTGTAGCAGAGGAATGCAGCTTCAACAGCATCTGGAGGAGTTGAAGGAGAGAGAGCGCAAAGCCCACCAGCACAACCGGCAGCTGCTACTACAGTTTGAGAGAGCTCAGGGCACACTGAGAGAAATGCTGGCCCGCAACGCTGCCATGAAAATTATACGGGTGCAACACAACAACACACTTCATCAGAAATAGAAAAAAAAAAAACAGTTTTCATCCAGCAGAAATCCAAACGCTTATTTCTCCCTCTCTTGTACCCTTGTAACTGTACAACCTAATGTCACTATTGTAGCTGGTGTGGGATTCACTTTTTATGTTAATGTTATTGGTACTCTGACTTTGTTTTCTTTGTTTTTTAACTTTAATCATGCTTGTATGGTTTCTTGTTTCTATTCATTTTATTTTCCCGGGTGTCCCAGGAATGAAAGATGCTCATTTTTTTTACACCTTATTGTTTGCAGATGGAGTATGAAAGATACCTGGATGAAAACCTGCACCGCTGGCAACAGCAACTCTTAGAGAAAACACAGGCCTCTCAGAGGAAGGTATAAACACTGCGCCCTATATGGAGGTGGTGATTAAAAAACCAACAACTGGCTCCAGAAACAGAGCCTTGTAAATGTGTTAACGAATATTTACTACCAAATAATTGAAGTCATTTTAAAGGTTTGCCAAAATTATTTTAAGGAACAGCACAAATATGTGGAAGAAGTCAAAGGAAACTGAA